AAATAGAACACTTTTGTTCTTTTATGGGAAAATTATTTCCCAAAAATAGAACAATTTTGTTCTTTTATGGGAAAATTATTTCCCAAAACGGAACACTTCTGTTCTGTTATGGGAATTATTTCGCAAAAACAGAACAATTTTGTTCTTTTATGGGAAAATTATTTCCCAAAAATAGAACAATTTTGTTCTTTTATGGGAATTATTTCCCAAAAATAGAACACTTTTGTTCTTTTACGGGAAAATTATTTCCCAAAAATAGAACAATTTTGTTCTTTTATGGGAAAATTATTTCCCAAAACGGGACACTTTTGTTCTGTTATGGGATTTATTTCCGCAAAACAGAACAATTTTGTTCTTTTATGGGATTTATTTCCCAAAAACAGAACAATTTTGTTCTTTTATGGGAATTATTTTCCGAAAACGGAAGAAAAGTGTTCTGTTTTGGGAACACAGCTCACAGCTCAAACGAACCGGTTCACCAGTTCAGCTCAGCTCAAAAGAGCTGTTCGAACAGTTCCTCTGAGTGGAACTGAGCTGAGCTTGTCGATCCCTTCTAAATACAGTAATCATGATTTATGAAACACTATGTCAAAATATTGAACATGAAGCAGTTGATATAAAAATTTAAAACAAATTTTAAAATGATTAGTTCATAAACATGATTCATTTAATATAGTTCTTGATACGTATGAAGATTTTCCCAAAAATCATTTTTGAAATAATTTTTATAAATTATTACAAACTTAGTCTAATGTAAGCAAATCGGTAAGATTTTTACATTAGACTTTCTATTTGAGGTTTATTGATACCTAAATATTATCGCGGTTGCATGATGCTACTAGTTAGAAAGACCGTGACAACAGAAACGATTTTATTCAAAACATTTTGCTATGAAACTATGAATTTGAATATTGGTGGCTATTGGGCTTCTATGAAAATCAGCTAAGATTACGGCATATGAATGATCCGAAATTTCAAGAAAAATGTTGAATTTAAATCGACAGCAGCTTGTAAAATCTAGCTAACTTTTCGTGAGTATAATGAATTCATTCGACATAATATAAGCCTCTGATGAAAGAATAAGAAAGTGTTGGTCAATATTTAGAGCTAGTATTTCCAATACGATTAAAGTTTTGCCAATGAGAAATTTTCCGGATTAAATCTCTTGACCATTGACCCCATGAAAATTCTTAAAAATAAGCAAGTTTTAGTTGCCACAATTCTTAAAAAAACGGTAAAAAACCGATGTAGACCGGACCGGTCCGGTTTCAAGTATGATCGAAAATGGAGAATAATCAATAATCATTTAATGAAACAATCAATTCTTTCGATTTGATTTTCATCACATTCTAAAAAATCGGATTCATTCTTATTGTTTTATAATTTCTAGAAAATTTAAAAGAAGACTTTAATGATGTTCGTCAATAACAATATTAAACACACCAAAATATGAACCAATCTTCAAATTTCATTTCAACTATACTTTTGCATTGATCGATTTATACAATTGAATTCAATAAATAGTTTACATACCTGTATTTTTCTACAAAAATGCGTTTTTTATCATAGAAGAAAGTTAAGCGTATAAGAAAGAACCCACTTTATTAATTCACCATAAATAATGAAAAGTTTATGCAAATGGGATCTTTAAAAAAATGTAGTACGAACATTCTTTGATCGATGTCGCTTGGCATTTGGTAGAATACGTACAGATTGATGATTTTTCAGGTAACTTAGCAATATCAGAGTGTCGGTGTAAGGGAGAGTCGAGAAAAGGCAAACACCCTAAATCATTGTTTCGATAGATTTCTTTTGTTCATCTTTTCACGAAATTCAATTTAATATATGATATCATACTATACAAAACTAAAAATGAAAAATTATTTCTGTAAAATTTCGAAGAAATTTTTATTTTAATCTGTCAAAAAGATTTAGTAGGTTTCATTATTTCGCCAATCATCTCATGTAATTATTTTCATTAGAAATATCCAACAATGAAAAGCAAACAAATAATAAAATTTCTGCATGCATTTGCTTTCGTTTCAAAAAGATGAGAGGATATACACGGGTTTTGTTTCAATGACTTTGAGCAAAGATTTTTGAAGAAAGTATTTCATAGACAGTTTTTATTTTGCATAAGCATCAGTCACTATTCGTATGTAATATAGACGGCCTGATAGGTGACAAGACATAAGAGAGAGTTTACCTTGAATTTGATTTCATCACAAATCATTACTTCGGAGAATATGGATGTGAGAAAGGAAGTGAGAGAACGAAAGAAAAGTTGTGTCTTTTTAATTAGTTTTGTAATGAGGGTATATAGTTTATTAGTTCTTATCATATATAATATTCATCAAGGTCAAAGAAAATAAATCATCATTAAATATATGTATTCTGAATATGTTGAAAAAATAAAATAAGAATAAACTATTTATTTCTCTTTTTTTTCAAAATTTAACTTAAATCAATGAGTTTTTTGTTTAATCTTTAGAAATCAATTACATGAGAATGAAAACAATGCTCAATGAATCATTCATATATACAATTTTAAAGATATATGAAATCCTACATGAGAAATATTTGTTGAAGTTCTCTTATGACAATCTCTTACCTCGTAAATAAAACTATCCAATTTTCATCTATAAAAAAAAACATTAATGTTTAATTACTTTTCTATTTCAAAAATATTACTCTCACTTTAATCAAACGATATATCATGAAGTGAATATAAAAACTTGCAAATTATCACTTAGTGCAACTTATTCTATACTTATTTCTTTAATGTATTGAAAAACTAGAATTGCCTCTCGTTTTTCGATCATGTATAAACGTCAGTAGGTTAAAGTTCATGTTTTTATCATAGATAGACGAAAGCAATATCTCTTATTTTTTTTATGTTATTGCAACGTAATTATACGTGACTATCTTCCACTTATTCGTATTTAAGTACCTTTAAGATTTTCAAAATAAGATCGTTTGGTGATAGTGCACTGCTGAATGCCGTATACAGGAAAAAAAACATGTTTAATGATTTTTTTTTGGTAAGTATATTACAATTACGATCAGACATGTCATATTGACGTTGTAGATTGTACTCAGAATTTTTCCAGACATGTGTGACGATATTGAAGCTTATATAAGGTTCGATGAAAATAAGTTAGTGTTAGTTGAATATACATCAAACTAAAAGCAATGATCGTCACTATTTTCAACGTGATGTGTTTTGCAATCATCATTATACCAAGTTTATATCCATTACTAACAACAGCAGTAAGCAGATTCTTTATATTCAATGAGATTTTAGACATTGTCTATGTTTTTGTGTTCTTATTAAGAATCCACCAAGCACACAAACGAAATCGAAAGATAATCGTAAGTCGATGATTGAATGAATTTTCTTAATATGATTCGCAAGGAACTACACTATCACTATTTATTTCTCTTTTCATCGAACATTACTGAGAAGTGATTCTGATGTAGTCAATTAGAAGGGAAGTTATTCCCATCTAGAAGGAGAAAACTGAAAATTGAATCAAATTTTTTGTAAACTCATAAGATTTATTATCGTAACTTTTACAACTTTTTGCCTATCATGAGATATATTAGCGATGCTATAGTATTTGAACCATCGTTTTCGTTTTATAATAAGAACGGGTTGTGATGAAAATCTTCGAAACTCAAGAGCTTCAATACTATGTGATGAAATAAAAAGAATAGATATAGTATTCTCTAATCTGACTCAATAAAACTTCTACATTGTTTTTTTTTAATATTTTTAAGTAGTCATAATTGAAGGTGATATCATTGTTCGCCGAAATCAAGCAGTAAGTTAATGATGATAATTTTTTATAACAATTTTCTTTTTTTTTTCTATAAAATTAAGCGTGGAGTTGCAGTTCGTGACAGAGGTGCACGTTGGACAAATGGAATTGTTCCCTATCAATTTGCATCCGGATATAGTATGTATTATCACAATGTTATTAATATGATTTTTATTGTTCAGCTTAGTATAAGCTGAGTACAAATGATTAGAGAAAATATTCTTCTGAAATTATTTTCAATCAAACAATCATTTGATGTAGAACGATATGTTTTTCTTTAGCGATTGAACAACAAGCGACGATTATTGGTGCAATGCGAAGGTTGGAAAGTTCAACAGCTATTAATAATGCTCGTTGTATTCAATTTCGACCCAAAGAGTCATCTGATCAATATTACATCACAATTACGAATGGAGACCGTTGCCAGTCTACTGTATATAGCATGCATAACGATAAATCCGTGCTCTGCACAACATTATTTTTCCTTTTTAATAGATTGGACGACCTTACAGTCCCGATATCAATGCTACAGTTATATTGGACAGTTCACAGTGTCTGATTGATGGAATAATAATGCATGAATTCGTGCATACGTTAGGTAGGTATCGTCATTCATTTTTTTGACGTCGTTCTTGATACTATTGGAAAGAAACTCTACTGTTAAAATAGAGTAGTTTAGGCCGAGAGCAGAATAATTTTAAAGAAAACTGAATAATTAATTAAAATAAAAACAAGCATTCAGTAAAAATTATAGAATATCATCATCATCATCACAATGAAAGGGTAAATTGAAAAAGTAGTGCTTATGACATTTTGCCTTTGAAATACAAGAAATTTAACGATTACTGAGGGTCAATGAGATTGATATACAACAAGAATATGAAAATGATATTTGTGAACGAGCAATCAATAAGTAATTCTATGAGAAAAAGAATGCGTTGTTCCTTGCTTCGTTGAACTCGTATGTAACCAATGAAATAATATTTTTGATAGGAACTGATATAAGCTCCTTCCCATAGTAAAAAAACTTCAGGTTTTCTATTATGTCGAACTGATTTTAACATCTTTGAACAAGAAAGTCTTTTTAGAAAGCCCAGATGGCTTTGAAGATTTTGAAGAGATTTCTCGAATTTGAAAAGCATAAGTCTGATTTTTGAATAAATTTATTTTAAATTTTCAGCTCAAAAGACCAAAAACAAGGCATATTATTGTATCAATTCTTTTGGTGCAGTACTCACTTTTCGAAAAATTAATTAAACAGGGGCCTTCTGTTGTGTAACAATCTTCTCATAGAAGGAAATTTTGAATTTGGGGACGATCTATAAAATATGAAACAGAATATATTATACAACTTACATCCATCCGATACCTTAGTAGAACCTAGCCAAACACAACAATCCTGTAAAACTTTGTCTTAAAGATATACTGAAGTATATATGTAGAAATTTGAATTCATTTATTTGATTTATCGTACAGGTTGTCGGAGATATGATGAAGCCTTGTCATTTAGCAATAAACTGATTCTATGATATTTCACATTTAAACCGTATAGAAATAGTGATGGAATCTTTATTTGCTTGAGCCATATTTTTGTTTTACTATATAATCATAAGTAGAACATCAAATATGAATACAAATTTCTTTTCGGTCAAAGTTTAGAAAAATGCAAAAGAAAAAGAAGAACAATTTAATTGAGATCTTCTAATGCTTTTCATATCTATGCGATAGTTTTCTGAATATTTTATAATATTCTTTTAACCAAAACTTTACAAATAAAAAATAATCTTAGAATGTGAGTATGTGAGTGTAGGTGCCGGAGAAACAAAACAGAACACCTACATTCTTCACTATTGAGATGTTACTTTTGAAAGAAGATTGATGAAAAACTGTTCACTATGCGAAGTTTTACTGCATATTATTCTTTGTATAAAAATAGGTTTCTGGCATGAACAATCACGCCCCGATCGTGATTCATATGTACGAATCTATTTGGAAAATATGATAGCTGGTAAGAATTCATATTTTTATGGAAAAACTCTCTATGTCATCATAATAATCCTAATTTGTTGTTTTCTTGCTCACTCTCAGGCCACGAAGGCGATTTTCAAAAGCTGGATAATACACAAGTTGACACTCAAAATACACCGTACGATTATGACTCCTTAATGCACTACAGACGTACTGAATTTTCTAAAAATGGTTTATCAACAATTGAAACACTTCAACCGAATATTAAGATCGGACAGCGTCTTTATTTAAGTCCAATTGACATTCAAGAAATTCAACTCTACTATAATTGCACAGGAACTGGACCCACATTACCACCGACTACAACAGTTATTACGCCTATAACAAGTAAAAATATGATAATTGAATATTAATTTGTAAAAAAATCATTTCCAGTAGAAGTAGAGCATTATTTTAAACTTATATTGAAGTTCGATAAAACGTTTGATTCGAATTTAGAAACACACTGTTCTTGGACTATTATATCATAGTATAAGAAATAAATATAGGCATAGAGGTAGGGGAGAAATCGATCCGGGATTCTCGAGTTTTGATAGATTCTAATGGAATCTGTGGATTTTGATAGGTTCTACATAGTTATGCACCAGTGCAAATGAATTGGATATTGACTCATGAGTCAATTCGAATAACATTCAAAATTGATGACTGATTAACTGATCACCTACTTGAAGTGCTTACAGAGTTAGCGACTACCAGCTCACCAATCGAAGACTCCCATTCAGTTATCCAACTTCATGTTCTACTGAACAGTACTTTATAACTAATAGCGAAATATACATATGTTCCCCATTGCACATCATTTATGCGGTTAATATTGGATTGAAAAACAAAGGCACCTTCTTCATTCCTCTTCTTTCATCAGTATACAAACAGATGAAACACGCAAGTCGATCAATATGATATGGTTATAGTGTTTTATTACTATATATAGGCTAACTAGAGATGTAAAAACCGAGGATAAGGAGTTGCCTTCATCCTGCCTTTGGAAACGCTAATAGGAGAACATTTTTCAGCAACTGTTATATCGGCTTTTTGAGACAATTTTCTTAGAAAAAAGATTTTCAGGCATAATTTCCTTGTATTTGTCAACACTTTTTCGCTCCGCGAATGTTTTCCAAGATATCATGTTTCTTTCTGTTCATTTTGCTTCCAGTGTTATATATGCTTGGACTTTTAGTTAAAGTTATATTTAAGAAATGACAAATTTGCATTTCTTTGAGGTCTACGTGGAGCTTCCAGCATATAAAGGATACGAGCGCGACCGTCTTCAGTAGTGAAATATGTAATAAAGCGTAATTCTCGCATGCATGAAAATGAAAAGTAGCTCCTATGTCATTGATGTTGAATAATGAAAGTTTCAGCTCGAAATTTTCAATTATTTTCCAAAAAATTGACGCCTTTGGCGGTGAAGTACAAAATGAAGAATGCTGGTTTTTAATTGCTACTATAAAAACCAATTTGTTTTTATTTTTTTATGCTGATTTCTAAATTTTATCAGTCAAACTTTTTATGACTGTTTCGAAAATTGGTCGCCTTCAGCAGCATTATCTCTACATTTTTCTATGTGTAACAAAAGTTGAATTCTAATACGGACATTCTCTTTTTTATGCAAGTGTGAATTTTTGTAAATGCAGAAGAAAATTTCGCTGCGCCGTAGTTTGAAAATAAATAATACACTAGAGGCTTTTACGCCAGTGAGTGAAAAAAATTTTACTCAACCAGAGTCTCGAGTTCAGGTATGCTCTTGCATCTAAAAACTATAATGGACCAGCAAAGAAAATATAGCCCAATGAAACTTTAAATTGCCTATGGCTGCCCACTCCTCAAAAAGGACTCCGTTGGGAAATGGCCCAATGATAAAAGAATCCTGGCTACGCCACTGCATATGTGAATTAAATTTTCTAAATATATATATTTAATAATAATAATAAGAAGAAGACGAAGAATATTCAGATTATTGTAAAAAAGTAACAGAAAACTAAACTAGTGCAATGTTCTTCCCATAAAACACAAAGCAAAGATTATTATTAATCAGTTCAAAATCTTAAAAAAATGAAGTGAGAATGATAATAAAAATACACCGAGTACCATCGATGTGTTCAATGCGTTGATTATTCCCATTCATCAAAAAGTCGCTAATAGTAATATATGAAGATGTGTCGAAAATAATACAGTTATAAATGTCTGTCGTCTAACATCAGACTGAACATAATTTTTTCCTAAAAAACAAGTAATACATGTTCAAATGGTCATCATTTCCGAAAAACAAAGTCAGAATGAAATCTGTAAAAATGTTTTCAAATACCTGAGCCTCCCCAAGCCTAAGGGCTCCGCCGCCACTGAAGTCCACTTAGAATTTTGATCAAAGTTAAGTCGCCAAAATGAGTCCCAGCTTATTTGCGACAGATAGATATCCAAAAATGATTTAACTAATCTATCAAAGTTAAGTACTTTCACAGTTTCTTTTCTAATTGAACAGCGTATCCAGGTGTAATTCCATCAATTTATTCGGGTGCATTAACAATTAATAGTCCAACGTATTCTCGTTTGAATGGTTCAGTTGGAAATTACTATTATGATGTCATAAAAGTAAATGTTAGTGTCCCTGGAGACTATCTTATTGAGAGCAAAAGTTTTATTGATGTCTATGGCTACTTTTACTACCCCAGTTTCGATCCGACTAACTCATCTCTAAATTGCTTTGATCAATATGACGATAGTGATACAACTCTGCAATTTCGAGTTACATATAGCTTTTGGTCGAAATATACTTTTTTTCTGGTGATTACGACATATAGTACAGAAGTAACGGGAGCATTTTCAGTTGTTGTGACTGGTCCAGCTGCAGTAACCTTCACTCGCACGAGTACCTACATGACGATAGTGACTACAAAGCCCACAACAACATCAACAACTACAAAGCCCACAACAACATCAACAACTACCAAGACTACAACAACATAAACTACTACCAAGACTACAACAACATCAACTACTACAAAGACCACAA